TTTTTTTTTGTTTCGTTGTATGACTATCAATTCACTATTCTTCCTTTGAATTGATTCGTTACTCTTCCCTTTTATGTCCTTTTTTTTTCTTTCTTCCCTTAATCATCTATATATATATATATATATATATCAAAAATAGCCCCAGTACACCGTAGAAGAAGAAGAAAAGATAATAATAAAAGATATCTATCTTTATATATATATCTATATTTATAGATAGATAGAAATACAGTGTAGAAAGGAAGAAAGAAAGAAAGAAAAGAGAAAGAAACAGAAAAAAGAGAGATGGTATCTGCACTGAATGGTGTGGTGACAAAGGCGGCCCTCTTTGTACGGCCGCAGTACGCCAAACAACCAGAACTATTGGCCTTGACGAAATATAAACTACATGAGGCCGGATTTATTATCATCCACGAAGAGTTCCGCCGCGTAAATGACGAACTCGCCGACACAATTGCCATTCAACTCGACCGCACGGCATTCCTCAACGGCATTGCCACTCCACCCTCCACATCCAACACCGTAGAGGAACAGACATCATCCACACAAGAAGGAGAACATCAACAAAATGCAGAGAATCATAATAACAACAGCAGCAATACTAATAATAATCACAGTAATAATAATAATAATAATAATAATAGTACGCGGAGAATGTTTACACACACACACGCCACTGCAGTACCCGCCGGACCGCAAGAACTCGTCGGTCATGTCTATTTGTACGTCCTCGCCCATCGTGATTGTCATCAAGAACTCCTCAACTTTCTTGATCGTCTCTTCGCCGATGATGATTACACCGATCTGCTGTTGGAATTACAGGAACGAGGAGTATTGGGAGATGAAAGTGAATCCTCCGACCAACAACAACAACAACCATTATTATTAATTCCCTGTCCATTATTCTGCAATGCAACCGATGTGGCCGCTAAACAAGTTGTCCAGCTGTTATTTCCACGTATGTTGGTTCATGATGTGCCAAACGATGCCGCCTCGCAGGAGTACGTGCAGGCGCAGTTGAAGGGGGCACTCATTCCAGCACTTGTGGAGCTCTCAAAGGCAAAGCCGGCAAATCCCATCCGATGGTTAGCGGAGAGGCTGTTGAATACCAATACACGAGCACCACCACTGATCTCAACATCTGCCGTAGATGACTCGAACTAAGTGAATGGAAGATATATATATATATATATATATATTATTTAGAAGAGGTATGCTATTACCACTATGTTTGTTGTTTATTTGTTTTTTTTTTTTGTTTTCTCCTTTATGTTTTTTTTTTTTTTTTTTTTGTTTTCTCCTTTATGTTTTTTTTTTTTTTTTCTCTCTCGGTGTGTGTTTGTATTTGTATTTGTGATGGTCGTTGTGTGTGTGTGTGTGTGTTTTGCGGCGTAGTTTGAGGGGGAAACGAGAGAAAATGAATAAAGGGTGGAAGTAATGAAATTGTTATCCCCCTCATTTTCTATGTTTCTGATGTATAGAAGTTTACACGTACATATATATCTATATGAGAAGTATATATATATATATATAGTATATGGATTTATTTTTTTCTTTCTCACTAAACGTTGCACATGATGCAATGGTCACCTTTGCTGACGAAGAGAGAAAGAAAGAGAGAGAGAGAAAACCTCACAGTTGTTTATTTCATCTCATTTATTTAATAATATTTTTCTTCATCTTTTCCATTGTTTTTTTTTTTTTCTTTTCTTTATATTACCATTTATTAATAATATGGAAAAGTAGAATGAGATGTACGTGAAGTGCTACTTTCTTCAACATCAATGGTACAATTCTATAGTCTGTCTCTACACATGACGTTATCATTGTTACTATTACTGATGTGCAATGTATGGGCTTTACCCTCTCGAGATGCATCGTATATTCTTTTTCTCAATGCATATCTTAGCCCGGATGCCCAAACTGCAGCCGCCGCCAGTATTGGTATTCAACAAGAACGATTTTCATTCTTATGGTTAGATGGAAAAAGAAAAAAAAATGATCTTTATAATTATACAAATGTACGTCTATACTTTAATCGTTTTCCGACAGAAGTATGGCAAGACTTTGTTGTTGTTCGTGTTGTGAAGCTTTGGCCTTGTCATCATCAGACATTCCATCTACAAGAGAGACTTCATAATATTTCTTTTATTCTTCCTCACATTGGACGTATTTCTGTTATTCGTATTGTTAAAGATATGGTGTTATCTAAACAACGCGTACTCGCTTCACTACAACAACAACAACAACAACGAAAACCTGATAATATATTATTCTCATCACGACAGCGACAATGGTATCCACGACGGTATTTTAGATTACCATTAACTACACGATGGACGGGTAAAGGTGTACGTATAGCTCTACTCGATAGTGGATTGGACCCATTGTTTTGTCCCTCATCTATGCACACCCAGCACCCACAGAATAATAATAATAATAATAATAATAATAATAACAGTACGAGGAAAGAAAGTAATGAGAGTTCAAACACCGTGGAAACCACACCACTCTGTCTATGCACGAGTTTTGTACCAAATGTACCGTGTGCGAACCGTCAGGACTCTCACGGCACCTTCAGTGTTTCTGTAATGGCCGGTAATTTTTCATTCACTCAACATTCATCTATAGGAGCAACAAACACCTCATGGAATAAATCCACTGTAAACACTAATACTACTACAGAAGAGAGAGAGGAGGAATTACCATCTCCACATGTACACTATTATGGTATAGCACCTAATGCGGATATTCACATGATGCGTGTTTTTGATCATAATTCTATTTCCCGCACATTATGGTGTGTTGCCGCCCTTAACGCGGCTCTTCAATGGCGTGCTGATATCGTCAGTCTTTCTTTTGGTGGACATGACTATAATGATATTATCTTCACAGACGCTATTACACAACTCACCGCAAACGGCATAATAGTAGTGGCCGCAGCGGGTAATAGTGGGCCAATGTTGGGATCTGTGCAGAACCCTGCTGATCAAAATACAGTACTCGCCGTTGGAGCCCTCGGCACACTTGCAAAAAGTATATCTTTCCATACAAATTATACCAATACACAAAAAGAAAGAGAAGGAATGAAAGAAGAAATACGTTGGGTGTCTACATTCTCTGGTAGAGGACCGAGTGTGTGGGAGTTGCCATTTGGTGCGGGTCGTGTCCGGCCTGATCTCATTGCCCTTGGGGAACATGTACTTGGCGTAGGTCGTGGTATGGATAATAATAATAATAATAATAATAATAATAATAAGAAGAAGAAGAAGAAGAAGAAGAAGAATAATAAGAATAATTCTTATCATTATCCTAATAAAAATAATAAACACTATTCTAATTATACCGATATTGATAATGATAATGATGATAGTGATAGTGATGGTGTATTGGAGTTGCGTACATCGCATGGTACTAGTGTAGCTGCACCGCTGGTGGCTGGAATGGTGGCACTCTGTATTGAGGCTATAAGAGATGTAAACAAGAATTCACACATTATTAATATAGCTGTGATTAAACGAATATTAATGGAAACAGCGATTGAATTACAACCGAGTGCATCTATTATGGATCTTATGTTTAAAGCCCTACGTCGAGAAAACGAAAAAGAAGAAGAAAAAAAGAAAAAATTCTATACTACTGGACCTTGGGGAAATATTCCATTTAACCATTATGATGGGATTACCATGACTGAGACACTTATGCATTATCGTAATATTTTGCAGTTTAGTCGTGTTAGTCAAGGAGCCGGTGAGGCATGTCCAAAGTGTGCACTCGCATGGATTGAAAATTATCAACAAAAAGAAAAAGAAGAATTATTATCCCTGCGATTATTAGAAGGGTTTGCTTTTCCTAAAGAAATAGATGCCACTAGTAAACATCATATTCATAATGATGATAAGGAGTCCTCTCTATTAAAAGATTTTTGTCTTATGAATTGGCCCTACTGTGAACAACCGTTATTTCCTTCCGCAACACCTGTTGTATTTAATGTGAGTCTCTATTCTCCACAATGCCCTAATGCCCAACTCGACACTTTTACTCCAATTGTAGTCATTACAGGTGGAAAAGGAGTTTGTAATAATAATAATAATAATAATAATAAGGAAAATAGTCGCTATTGTGGAGTAGGCGATATTGAGGTAAATATTGTGGAGCAACTCTTATCTTTACGAGCAGAGGCTTCATCTATGTTGGAAGGGTATAGTGGTTGGCTTTCATTATTTGCCTATTCACCATCGAATGCCTCTTCTGTATATTTCAACTCATCCTCTAAAGAATCATTGCATGTGAAGTCAACTGAGAGAGTTTTCAAACACTATGATCTTGTAGTGGTAGAAGGATATGTGATGGTACGATTTACCTGTGAAACCACTCTCCAAGTTAATAATAATAATAATAATAATAATAATAATAATAATAATAATAATAATAATAGTAATAATAGTAATAAGAAAAAGGGATTAAATGTGTTTGGTTGTAATATCACGGTTCCCTTTAAAATCCCTGTTGTTCCACGGCCACCACGGGCTCAGCGTCTGGTGTTGGATGTCACTCATCAGTGGTTTTACCCACCGGGCTCTATACTCAATGATGATATCCGTATATCTACACAAACACAAACATCATCACAACAGGAGAAGAAACACTTTCAAAGAGGAAGAAGAAGACGAAGAAGAAGAAGAAGAAGTCACACCTTATTTGAACAAGATAGTGATCATCCACATACAAATATGGTTTTATTATTACTTTACATGCGTCGTGTGATGAAACTCTTTGTAGAGATTCCACTTCTGCATCCCTTACCATTCTCTCCTCATATAAATGATACTCTCATGATATTCCAGCAGCAACAACAACAACAACGGCAGCAAGTTCTTGAACGTTATTACCGTAGTGTAGGAATGTTATTACTATTAGATCCTGAACTTCCATTATTGGAGAATGAGCGATTTATTATTTCTCACGCTGTGCGGTATCATCAACTTCATCTTATTATTATTAGTGATTGGTATAATGAAGATATAATGCGTGATATGAACCCTACGGATAATAATAATAATAATAATAATACTTCTTCTAATATGACTGCTAATAATGCGGTGAAAGATTGTATAAATATCTCATATCGTTTAAAGGGTACATGTCATGTGCCTTCGTTAAATATACTTTTACGTGATCTCAGTCAGGGTTTCCTGCAGTTGTCTACAAAACGTATTGTGGATGGAGAGTTGGTACTTTCAACATCTAATGAGGAACATGTATGGAGACAACATTACTTTGGGCCAATGAATACAGCAGGTGTACTTCAGTGGCCATTAAATAGATCATTACAACACAGGAATAATAGTAATAATAATAGTAATAATAATAATAATAATAATAATAATAATAATAATAATAATAATAATAATAATAATAATAATAATAATAATAATAA